ACTCGTGTCTTGATAGAGATGAACATTTAGATGCATGCCTTGATTTGGTTGTTGCATTAATATGGTCTTGGGATTGGTTCATTAGGTGTTCTATAAAATATATGTGGTATATGTAGAACCCCGTCACAATTAATTAATCGGAGATTCCAGAAAAGGAGAATAACGGTTTGACATCCATTTGAATCAAGGATCTTGGATCTTATAGAACCATGTGGAGGTTAATATTGGGTCATTCAGAGCCGTGTGGCAATTGAGTTGCAAAAGGATGCAATTATTTGACAAATGGATGGTTTTATAATGTGGAAAATTGGAATCTGCAATGTGAGATTCAAAGGAAAAGGCATGTCGTTTGAAGCGTTGCTTTTGACAATGAAAGGGTATGACCTTTCCAACCAGTCATTACTATTCTTAAATGTACATGTATTCATGGGCTGGTGTGTAAATGTATTATCATACAGTGATAAGAATTATTTCTCATATTTTTTCGATGAGATTAATTCATCAATTTCAAGAGGCCCAGAATGATACATGACTGTAGTCATATATGATGGAGGTGTTTTGAGAGTACAGAATATATGAAGTTCGCCAGAGTCCGAAGATTGAAGTGTTTAGACTTCGGATTATAGATTGTTAAATCTTATGAGACTGACGCCTACCGAACTACAAGCACAAAAGTAGAGGCGAAATTCTGTCTTTAGGATATTGCGTTTATGTAAGCCTCAATCTCCAAGTTTGTCAATTTTTCTAACTTTCTCTCTAGTTGTTTATATTAATACATAATTGATGTTGTGAATTTCTTTATAATTATTATTATTGTAATTCTTGTTATTATTTTAATATTTTCTAATATTGCTCGAACATGTTTCTCATTATATTTTCTATAGCATGTGAAACTAGTGATAATTGATAGGATTAGTATAACTAGTTAAACTCCAGAATCACATGTTTGTCCAACTTTCCATTCATGTGGTATGATATTCTGGGGAACAACCCAAGTCTCATCACAATCGTAGTCGTTGTCACTGAATACGAATAGATATCATATACGTAATGATGAAGGCGACATAATTAATTAAGAAAGAAAAAAAAGCAAGTAATTAAGCTGGGTTGACGATTAAGAGCAAGAGTTTTATTATAAATGATAATTAACAACCACCATGTGATTTCATTTGGTTTAACTTCTTTTTTTAGCCAAAAGAACCATATATTAAAGAGAAAAATCTCTGATACAACCGTTCCCAACAAAATCAAAGCGAAGAGCATCTAAAGCAAAAGGAGGAACATGATGCTCCCACAAATGACAACTAGTTATTAGAAGACATTGACGAGCAAAGGCATCAACAACAAAGTTTGCCTCTCTAAAGTTTTGGTTCTAAGAGAATGCTAAATTTGGTCATCATCCATTTAATATCTTTAATAGTATGCTCCAGATTCCACGATATCGAGCACACTCCCTACACAGTCTAGATGACCAGCTTGGAATCGCCTCCCACCATGATCTTCAACACACCATTTCTAAGGGCAAATATTAAACCTTCTCTTAGACCTTTAGCTTCGACTTTGGAAAGAGTGGCTCTATCAAGATTTAAAGCCCCACCAACAATAAGAATTTCATTATGTCCCTGATGGCAAAGCCAGCCGCCGTCTTAGTATATGGTTCTTAGTATATGGTTCCCTACTAAAAAGAACCATATATTAAAGAGAAAAAGCAGTTAATAATTGTCGATTCATTATACAAACTCTTCTTAGTACACTTCAACAACAACAACAAAGCCTATCCCTACTAAGTAGGGTCAGCTGTATGAATCTTAGAACATCATTGCGCTCGATTCTGTGCCACATCTTTCGTTAGATCCAAGTACTCTAAGTCTTTTCATAGAGTCTTTTCCAAAGTCTTCCTAGGTCTACCTCTACCCCTTCGGCCCTGAACATCTGTCCCATAATCACATCTTCTAACCGGAGCGTCAGTAAGCCTTCGCTTCACATGTCTAAACCATCGTAACCTATTTTCTCTCATATTTCCTTCAATTTCGGCTACTCCTACTTTACCTTGGATATCCTCATTCCTAATCTTATCCTTTCTCGTGTGCCCACACATCCAACGAAGTATTCTCATCTCCGCTGCACCCATTTTTTGTACGTATTGATGTTTCACTGCTCCGTGCTATAAAACATTATTAGCCTTATTGCCGTCTTATAAAATTTTCCCTTGAACTATAGTGGCATACGACGAGTACACAAACACGCCGTATGCACTCTTCCACTTCATCCATCCAGCTTGTATTCTATGGTTAAGGTCTCCATCCAACTCTCCGTTCTTTTGCAAGATAGATCCTAGGTAGCGAAAGCGGTTGCTCTTTGGTCCTTCTTGATGTCCAATCCTCACCCCTAACTCATTTGAGCTGTCGTTTGCACTGAACTTGCACTCCATATACTCTGTCTTTGACCGACTTAGGCGAAAACCTTTAGATTCCAACACTTATCTCCAAAGGTTAAGCTCGCATTTACTCCTTCCTAAGTTTCATCTATCAACACTATATCGTCTACAAAAAACATGCACCAAGGAATATCGATCTTGAATATGTCCTGCTAATTCATCCATTACCAATGCAAAAAGGTAAGGACTTTAAAATGAGCCTTGATGTAACCCTACAATTATGGGGAAGTTGTCCTTCATGAGTTCTTACGGCAGTCCTTACTCCATCATACATATCCTTTATAACTTGGATATATGCTACTCGTACGCCTTTCTTCTCTAAAATCCTCCAAAGAATGTCTCTTGGGACCTTATCATATGACTTTTTTCCAATCTATAAAGACCATGTGCAAATACTTTTTCATATCTATATATCTTTCCATCGATATTCGTAAGAGATAGATTGCCTCCATGGTTGAGCACCCTGTCATGAACTGAATTGGTTGTCTGAGACATGTGTCTTATGCCTCAGTCTATGCTCAATTACTCTCTCCTAGAGCTTCATTGTATGACTCATTAATTTAATACCCCTATAATTCATGCAATTTTGTACATTGCCCTTGCACCAAAGTGCTCTTTCGCCACTCATTTGGCATCTTCTTCTTTTTCAAAATCCTATTGAAAAGGTTTGTGAGCCATGCTATACCCGTCTCTCCCAAGACTCTCCACACGTAGATCAGTAGATCATTTGGGCCCACTACTTTTCTATGCTTCATCTTTTTCAAAGTTACAACCACTTCTTCCTTCCTAATTCGGTAGTAAAAAGAGTAGTTTCTACACTCTTCTGAGTTACTCAACTCCCCCAAAGGAGTACTCATTTCATGTCCTTCATTGAAAAGATTATGAAAATAACCTCTCCATCTGTCTTTGACCGCGTTCTCTGTAGCAATAACTTTTCCATTCTCATGTTGTAATTAAAATATTTTTCTACCGAAGACATTGCCAAGAATTTAGATCTCCATGGAGTAGGCATAAGTCCTATGAAAACCTTATTATTTCTATCATTCCAAATTTGCCAACATAACACTAAAAACAAATTGAGCTCACTCAAACCTTCCTTGTCCACATGATTTAGAGAATCCATCCACTCAACAACAGAAGCAAAATTATTAGTATTAACAACATTAGAAGCATTAGAAACCAAGTTCCAAATGAGATGAGAAACACTACACTTAACAAATAAATGCATTTGGTTCTCCTTATCCATATTGCAAAAAGGACACAGACTATCATTTAGACAAAAAACGACGTAGTCTTTTCCTCATTTGTAGCCTTTCTCTAATAAACAACCAAGCAAACATTTTAACTTTGGAAGGGATATTGAGCTTCCACATTTTATTGATCACCTTATGCCTAATTGACTGCACCATAGAGCCATTTAGGACCCTAATTGCCGATTTAATGGAAAATATAATGTAAGTGGTAGGACCCCATCTTATCTTTGGTGTCAAGAAAAGGAATTGGAATATTACATTTTTTTTATCACATCATTACAGACTACTTGGTCTGGTTTCTCCCTGTCCCAACAATTATTAACAATGAAATCACTCACTCTCAAGTTCCAATCAATATTTTGAGAATCAATATCAGGTAAGTGAAGGAAGATATAATGTGTCCTGGCCATTACCCACTCTCCACATAATTCCCTTAAAAATGACATCCTGCTCTTTAAAATGCTCTTCCAAGCCAGAGAATAATTTTGTCTAACTTTATTACCCAAAAAATCCTCATCTCGAAGGTACTTATCTTGACCAACCTCACCCACAAATTATTCTCATATGTTAGAACCTTCCAACCCAACTTAGCTAGATAAGCATTATTAAACTGATCCAAAAGCCTAACTCCAAGTCCACTGAATTTCTTGGGAGTGTGTTGTACACACCCTGTCCCAAGCAATAGGAAAAATCTTCCTATCCTTACCCCATAAGAAATCCTTGCACTCCTTATTTAGCCTATTCAAAATTTTATCCGGGCATTTAAAACAAGACATAACATGGTTAGACATACCTATAAGATTTAAGTTAATAAGAGTAAGTCTACTTGCCTTAGGGTGTTTTCCTTCCAACCTGCTAGCTTTTGCTTAACCCCTTTTAGCAGCTCATTCCCATTAACTTGATCTTTCCCAAATACAAATGTTATAAATACCAAGGTACCTAGCAATAGTAGTTTTGTGTTGGATTTGTAAAATATTAACAATATTATTTTTGATTTGCGAGTTGATATTTTTTGAAAAATAAAGGGATGACTTATGGAAATTAATATTTTGCCCAACTGCCTTAGCAAAAGGGTCCAGAATAGAGAGAATATTTCTTGCTCCCATGGGGTAGCCTTAGCAAAATGCAAACAATTGTCAACAAAAACTAAATTAGAGATTCTAAGGCCCTGGGGAGACAATAAGATACCAACATGGGATTTAGTACTATTAACCATCATATTAAGATGCCTAATTAAAGGTTCCATACAAATGATGAAAATGTAAGGCGAGAGGGGATCCCCTTGCCTAATACGTATCTTTTAGATTTTATTCTGCAAATATACCATCGAGATATTTTATTTGTAAAATGTATGTCATCCCATGGGGTTTATACAAATGATATTGGATGAAACCAGATGGGAGTATGAGTTACAGCATTCATGATTGTAATGGCTGCCAATCACCAAACTCCAATGGAACTATTGATATGAAATTGCCTACGAATCAACCATACGCAACAATTCTCAATTTTAATTTATAAAATCAAAGAAACAAACATTAATCATCAAAATTATCTCCTCAATGCAAAATGCATATGCGGTTCAAAATTGATCAGTCAATCTTCATCTACTCTTCGCTAGCAGCCTTGGCGCTCCGAAAACCCTTCCTCAACTCAGCAACTCTCTTCATACAAGCAGCCTTCGACTTCCCGGGCACAGCAGCTGCAATCTTCTCCCACCTCATTGACACTTCCTTTGGAAATGCCTTCAGGGCATTGAGCAATGCAATGTCTTCAGTAGAAGCCCAACTCTCTTTCTTCACTTCACCATTTTCCGCCATCAACTCATCACCCATCTCTAGATTCCCACTTTCAAATTTCTTGTCATTGGGCTTACGCTTCTTCAAAAACTCTGCATATGAATCTGAATCACTCACTTTCTTCTCTCCCAATTCTTTAGCCTTCTTGATCACACTCTCCACCTTATGCCTTCCTTGAAACGACTCGGCGATAACCTCCCACCGTCTCAGCTTCCCCACGGGGTGCTTCAACAGTAGTTTCTTTAAAAACTCAGCATCCTCCTCAACCCACTCCATCTCTTCACCAAAAACCACTGATCCATTACCATTACCTTCGGAAGCCTCACTCTTTTTCTCTTCTCTCAAACACCCACTAACAGTTTTGGCCACTGGCATCAAATCTGTCCCCAATTCATCAAACCAACGCAGTTTTGATCTATTTTGAGACACCCTCTTCTTCGATTCGTCCTCTACATGGGTTGCAATTTCTGGAAAGTCCATGACTGGGCCGTGACCAACCCGGATGTCACCACCAGTGACGGGTGCAGGAGCGAATTGGCTGATGAGGAGGGAGAGAGCGGCCCAAATGAGGAGAGATTGGTAGGGTTCATTTTGGAGGAAGAAGAAGGCAAGACCCAGTAACAGAAATGAGATCAAGACGGTTAAAAAAAAGAATGGTTTGCTGAGATTCTTGTAATAGGGTTGTGGGTTTGCAGCAGAAGAAGCTACTGCTTTGGATTGGAAAAGGAACCTTGGCCTTGCGTCCTCATCCAAAAACTCCATTTTTGGATCTTAGAGCTTGCTAGTAGTCCTTGTGGTTCTTCTGAAGGTCAAACGTGAAGGCTTTGCTTAGGAAGCATCGCTGAAAGGTAAAATAGGAAGGTATGTATCAATAATATCCAGCCTGTAGATGTAAAGAACAAAGAAATCTGAAAAGTAAGCACCATAATCTGTTAACAGAAACCATGGTCAATAGCTAGACACTCACCACATAATTCAAAAAAGTAAACAGAACGAAAACTTAACAAACTAAAGACCTTCACTCGCTAAAGCGTTAAGCCAATCAAATTGAACCTGTGAACATCTCCCATTCTTCTCTTTAAATGAAATTTGATAGCCTGCTCACTGTTTTTACTTTTCCTAGTGAATGGTAACACGCCAACTTCAAACTCATATTGATCAAGCATTTTGGTAGTTAGAAATTAAATAAACTCGGAAAACAATTAAATGATCAATTATCATCACACTCTGAATCCAGTAAGTAACTTTTGGGCACATCGAAGGGATAGAGAATTGAATGATAAACAATCAAGCTGCATGGGCCAAATTGGAACTCAACTCACTTGTCACTCTATAAACTTAAAATCATGTTAAAACTAGTAAAAACGTAAGTGAATCCTGAAAAGGCTCCTTAAGTAACTAGCGCTTTCATCAAAAGCGCTTTCAGTCATTTTGAAAGTACTTCCAAACAAAAATGTCAAATGTTACAAAAAGAAAAACTTTGTTAGTATAACGTTAATTTGTAACACCTGAGACCTTTGCGCAGTATTTCAATCTCGTTTTTCGCATATACTATATACAAGAACAATACACAAGGGAACTCAAAACGAACACACACAATGATACAATGCATCCATGTAAATTTACTACATATATGCAAACTAATCCAATTTGTTTTCTTTGTTCAGTAGGAAAAAGGGCATTGATTCTACAAGTCCTTTCACCGAAAATAAACACAAACGTTTATATACTGCAGAATTACTGGGAGAGGGTTGATGATAGGATGAGATGAGAAAATTACAAACTTACACATGCAATCCACATCCAATCCACCAGTTTAACAATACAACAGTTCCACAATTTAATAATCTAAATAAATAAATAAATTGAAAATTCAAATTGTAATCGTTCATCAATTAGATTAGCAGCAGAAGAATCAGAGAAAATGGAAATAGAGAGGTGAATAAGTTAGGGAACGGAACCTGCGGCTGGAACCTCAGCCTGGAGTAGATCCGGTTGGACTCAGTCTGGGAACGGAACCGACAAGATTGACATTTCAGAGACGTAGCGACCAAAATAAACCAACCACGCGACGTCGTTCCCATTTTTCCTTAATTTACTTATTAAGTTTCTTTTGAGGAAATCAAAATTGCTTTTTCAGGGCAAGTTTCTCTTTTAAGCTGTTATTTATGGAGGGTATCAGATTCTTATTGAGTTTTATGTGATGAAATAAGGTGCAAGGTCCATATTATTAAGATTCACTTGTAGTTTCGCAAAAAGGCTCAAAGGAAATTAGACAAAATTGCCCCTAAAACAAAAAAAGGTTACCACTTTGAATAAAAAAAATGGTTTCGGTTAATTGCATATTACACCACAAGGCTTGAGACTTCAATTTTCTGAATTGTACCAATTTAAGCTCTTTGTCAATTCAACCGTCTAATTAGATGTTAAGTACTGATGTGATATAAACTTAACCTACATTTTAAGAACTCATGAACTGCCATTTTCAATATTTGTGTAGACATCGAAATTTCAGTAAATAAATGTAGACCGATAAATCAAAGTGTCAACGCTCATATATTACATAAATTTTACACGTAGCGTGTGTCTAAACAAAAAATCGAAATAAGTTGGAAAAGTCATCAAACAGGACACGTGTCAACACCTGGCAGAAACGACTTATTTCATTTGGAATATTATATTCAAAATTAGGTCTTGGAAATTTCTATAAATAGAAGGCTAATTCATTCATTTGGGAGGGGGAATTCATATTACACCTTGAAACTCTGAAGCTCTGAAACTCCGAAGCTCTCAAGCAAATCCCGAAGGATCAAGAAAGCCCTTTTCGTTCTTCATCAAATCCTCCTTCAAGATCAAGCCCCGACGGCCCTTGAAGAAAGTGTTCTTTGTTCCTCGTTCATCATTCTTCCAAGATCAAGCCCCGATGGCCCTTGGATCAACCATCCACCAATTCAAGATCAAGCCCATTCGTATAATTTTTTTAATTTTTTGTAGAAAGATTCTTAATTTTTTTAATCTTAAATGTACCCATTCGTATAATTTTTCAATTTGTTTTTAATCTTCAATGTACTCATTCTTAAATATATCAATTTGTTATATGTAAAATATACCATTTTTTAATATAAGATCCATTCAATTTTTTTAATCCATTTTTAAACTTATATGGGTACATTCTTTTTCATTGATTTGAGAATGTATCCATGTCAAGTTCGATCGAAGAAATTTACTAATGTTATTATGCCTGATATATTTTATTTCTGTGGTTTTGAAGAATGTACCCATGTTTTGGTATAATAACTTTTTTTGTTAATTTTGGTGAATGTACCCATATATATATTGTGCGTGTGTGTGTATACACACACAATATAATAGAGAGTATAATTTATATTTTATTATTTTTAATCCCACAAATTATGGGTTTTATTTAAAATCTCATTAATATAAATATTAGAAATTACAATTTTTAATTTTTAACTTAAAAAAATATGGTAACTTACATTAATGTCAGGGACCTCGATTAAAAATTTAAAACTAACAAGGTTTCAGTCAAAGAATATTGATAGTTAGGGACTGTATCCAAATTGTCACATCCTGGCCCGGGCCCCCACCACATCCCGGGCTCGACTCCACCGTAGCACGATATTGTCCGCTTTAGGCCCCGATCACACCCTCAAGGTTTTGTTTCTGGGAACTCACACGAGAACTTCGCAGTGGATCACCCATCCTGGGAATGCTCTTACCCATACTAGCTTAACTTCGGAGTTCCGATGGAACCCGAAGCCAGTGAGCTCCCAAAAGGCCTTGTGCTAGGTAGAGATGAGAATATACATATAAAGCTTACAGGATCCACTCCCATGGGCGATGTGGGATGTTACAATCCACCCCTTTAGGGGCCCGACGTCCTTGTCGGCACAGTTCCGCCCAAGGATTGACTCTAATACCAAATTATCACATCCCGGCTCAGGGCCCCACCACATCGTGGGCTCAACTCCACTGTAGCACGATATTGTCTACTTTGGGCCCCGACCACGGCCTCATGGTTTTTTTTTGGAACTCACACGAGAACTTCCTAATGGGTCACCCATCCTAGGAATGCTCTTGCCCGGACTCGCTTAACTTCGGAGTTCCGATGGAACCCAAAGCTAGTGAGCTCCCAAAAGACATTGTGTTAGGTAGAGATGGGAATATACATATAAAGTTTACAGGATCCACTCCCCTAGGTAATTTGGGATGTTACACAAAGTGTTCCTTATTTCATTGTCTTTAAACCTCACCATGTGAAACGAAAAGGTTGGAAATAAAGTCTTCCGTATATATGAAACTTGGAATGTTTTGATCAACAAGGATTGTACGAAGAAAAAACAAGGTCGGACGAGTCATAAATCATTAAAACTTGTAATGGTGATGAAATAAATAGACTAATAAAAATTAGGGTAAATTACATAAAACTACCTCAACTATGGGTCGAACTACAATCTCATACCTCATATTTTAAAAATGACAATGTCATACCTTATCTTATGAATTTGTTATAATGTCATACATCCGTCAGTTTGTCTGTTAATTTTTATGTTGGCTAAATTGGATTAATGGTCCCCGTGGTGAGAAGGTAATTGGAAGATAGCTCCCGTGGTGAAAAAATTCAAATTTAAACCCTCGTATCTAATAGATCATGTTTTCAAAAAAAAAAAAGAATTCGAAAAAAAAAATTTGATGAGAAAAATGAAGCATAAATGTAAACAACAATCAACGGTTAAATTTTGATCTATGATTTATATGATTTTATAGTGGCAAATTTCGAAGTTAAGCTCTTCACGAAAGTTGTAAAGCTTGTCATTACTAGTGTTTCTATATTTTTTCTATATTTTTTTACACTTCTACATTAATTAAAAAACTATAAAAGAAAATGTGCAAGGTTCCAATGTTCTAATGTTCTAATGTCCTTAATTTTGCAAATCTTTTGAACATTTGATATTTTGTAATGTTTTAATGTTTTTATTTTTTATTTTTTTATCATGCTCTTATTTTGGGTATGTAAATATATACTTAAAAAGAAAAAACACGTTTTTTATGTTTTGGATGTGACAATATGGTATGTATATATTTATTTAGTATTATGTTTTTCATTTGATTATTTATTAGTTTAAAATATATTTTCCTTAACAGATAACGGGTCGGGTTATATTACCTATTAATATTATTGGGTCAATTTTGGATCGGGTCATTTTACTCGTTTATTTTAACGGGTGTTACACGAAACGACCCGTTAAGATATTTGATATGATACGAAAGCGATATGAACATGGAAAACACGACACGAATACCAAGTCTACATTCAACCTTCATAACCAAAAGAGAAAACAACTCATTCATCCAAGGCTATGAATTCGTTCAACACAATGATACAAAACGAGAATGTCCAACTTATAACGATACAAATAGTTCACCGGAGGATTACAGCCACTAACTTGATTATCTATGGCAACTTAAAGGATTGACTATTCAAATCCAGTCCATTTACACAAGATTTCAAATCCTTGGGTTAAATATAATGAACAGCGTGGCTGATTAAGTACTTATGACTAAGCAATTTGGAAAGCCTAGAAATCCTATATCCAATGTGATCGATGATTTGAATTTCCTCATTGAATTATGTTGAACAATAAACAAAGCAAACAAAAGGGCAGATTCATTGAAATTTGAATTCATGTATTTTGAATAAGATCTCAAACTGTAAATCAGGAAGCAAGGAAGGAAGAGATGAGACGCACCGCATCGGCGGAGGAGTTATCATCATCCATTTCAGGGCAGAGCTTGGCGTAGAGTTAGGGGTTGCGGTAGACGGAGCCAAGGGCAACGAATTCCTAGCCTTGGATGAATGAGTTTTGTTCCCTTTTGGCTATGAAGGTTGAATGGGTTAACAGATAGATGAGAAAGATGTTAATTTTAGGCTTAAATCCTAACGGAGTTCACTACGAGGGTTTAAATCTGAATTTTTTCACCACAGGGTTATCTTCCAATTGCTATCTCACCACGGAAACAATTAATCCAATTTAACATTTTTTTTCTATTAAATGCTGAAGTGGTATGAGAAATGACTCACTCCCCAACCAAGTGGATAAAAATATAAATTAAATATTAATAAATTAAAGATAAATTATTTTAATATTTTTATTTAAAAACATGTGAGACCCACCCTATAATTCTCTCATTTTCTCCCCTTTTTCCTGGTCCGTTCCAACTCTCCCTTTCTCCCCTTTTTCCTGATCCAATTAAACCAAAAATTCAAACCAAACCAAACCCAATTACCTCTGGGTGGTATTGCAAGTCTGCAACCCATAGAACCTCATGGCTGGGCCTTGTCTCAGGCCACGTCAGCATTTAACAAAAAAATTAACAGATAAATTGACAGATGTATGACATTGTAACAAATTCGCAAGATGAGGTATGACGTTGTCATTTTTAAAACATTAGGTATGAGATTGTAGTTCGACCCATAGTTGAGGTACTTTTATGTAATTTACCCTAAAAATTAATATATACGGTGATGATGATTAGAATAGGGAATTCTGGTAACTAAGGGCTTGTTTGGATGTGCTTTTAAAATGACTGAAAGCGCTTTTAAAGAAAATATTTTTGGGTTTCAAAAGCACTTTAAATGCTTTCTACAAGAAGCACCAGTTATGTGCTTTTTTAGGATTTACTAACATTTTTACTAAGGATTGTTTCTAAAAATATTTTCACAAAAAACGCTTTCAATTATTTTAAAAGCATATCCAAGCATGCTCTAATTCTCTTATTCTTGGAAGCATGCATATACATTCATTCTTCCAATTCATAATCGGGAGCAAGATCGAGACAGGGATTAGGCGACTATCGAGATGGCCTGGGCAGCCTAGGCGGGCGACTGAGTGGCTTAGGTGGTCCATGAATTTTAGTTTTGTTCTGTTTTCAAGAATGCAGATCAACTACGTTCTTGCCTTTCTGAGTTTTTGGTTCTCTATTTGGCAAAGAGGAAGAGACGAAGACCACTCTCATATTTTTTTTTTATTTAGTTTTGTTTCTTAGTTTCTCTCCAATTAAGTTTGGACAACTAGCATCAAGTTGCTTGCTTTTTGTAA